GAACTACTTCTGATGTCTCTTCAAGCGATTCCCTTTTAATCATACACTAGAGGCACACTTGAACACACAACTACAAATACATATTCGTGGCGTGGCAATCGACAATATAAAATTTTTTTCTAAATTCTCAGCAGAAATTTAGCCGAATTACGTTTTTAAAAATTACCCAAATTAAACGTCACGGATTTTTTTCGTGCACTCATTGGTGACTGGGCTGAGAGCGTCACCTCGCGAAACTATAAATCCCAATTTCATCATGGATTCTAGATTTGAAGCTTTCGTGACTGTAAGGATTCATATTCTTAGGTTTTTTCGGTAAAGTCACGTGGGTAAAAAATTAAAATTAATAAAAGTGAAATAAAAAATAAAATAAAAATCACGACGTTTCGGAGGCAACACAAGCTTCCGTCTTCAGGGGGAACCGTCACAGCACGATAGCTGTATCACTTGATAGCTGTATCACTTGATACAGCGTTTCGGAGGCAACACAAGCTTCCGTCTTCAGGTGGAACCGTCACAGCACGATAGCTGATGGAAGCTTGTGTTGCCTCCAAAACGTCGTTATTTTTATTTTATTTTTATTTAACTTTTATTAATTATAATTAAAAAAATTTACCTACGTGACTTTACCGAAAAAAACCTAAGAATATGAATCATGGGTGTTTGCCCAGATTCAGAAGTCACTTCTTTGTGCTCTCACTCCAAAGCCAAACTCTGGCTGTAGTCTGCACCGAACAGCCTCAGCTTTCTCAGACCAACTCTTGTTTGCGAGGCAATGTCTGGCACATAGGATCACACATTTCCCAGGATGTAATTTGATACTGTTGCAGAATAATGTTAACGTTGTGCCCAATTTAAATAACCTATCTGAGCACTTTCCCTTAAAGTGCTTTGTATGATGGCGATATGCCTCCATTAGATTAACTTTGATGTGAAATTCGCCACATCAACCTGCATTAAGTTTTATTAAATTTTAATGAAGCCAGCTGCTCATTGGTATTTCCCGTACATTTTAATTTGGGAGGAAATTTTTACTTTACACACCATTTTTTTTGCTAATTATTTGGTGATACTGCATTATTAGTGGTGCATAAGCACAATTTTTTAAATCTCAATACGTCAACAACTCTGGCCTTAAAAATAAGACTGGTTCAGGGAACGGTCCTCAATAGCATATTTACGTGCTATGAAAAAGGCCCATTTTTAACAGATTATTTTTGCAAAAGTTTTAGTATGGTATACTCATATTCTATATTCAACGTTGGAGTTTTGTAGCAAAATTCAGGAGTGATGTTTACAAAAATAACTATTTGGAGTCAACATTACATTTTTTAAAAATCAACGCTAAGATAGTAACTGAGAGGAAATATACAAATGTTAATTGCATAAAACTGGAGCTTCTGATTTCTGTTTTGGAATTTAGCGTCAGAACTTCACATTTATTTAAATTTTGTAAAAAAAAATCTCAAATTACTCTCTGACTGCGCGAGTATTATTGCATTATGAAAGCGCTCATCAGGAGCATATCACAACCTGCATCGTTATATACAAACCGGGGATGATTCTTGGCATAAACAGTACACGGATTCACACTGGACTGTACACGCAGCCCCATCATGTGGCACTTAGCGCACAGCCGATACAGTAAGTAATTATTATAAGGCAAGTTTTTTAAAACTTCGCTGGAGTGTTCCGTACGGATGTCCGCACTGCCTCTCTGCCGGCATCACCATAGTCAGTTTGCACTGCTATAATCATAGCAGGTACCACCAAAGTCAGTATGCACTGCTATAATCATAGCAGGTACCACCACAGTCAGTATGCACTGCTATAATCATAGCAGGTACCACTACAGTCAGTATGCACTGCTATAATCATAGCAGGTACCACCACAGTCAGTATGCACTGCTATAATCATAGCAGGTACCACCACAGTCAGTATGCGCTGCTATAATCATAGCAGGTATCACCACAGTCAGTTTGCACTGCTATAATCATAGCAGGTACCACCACAGTCAGTATGCGCTGCTATAATCATAGCAGGTATCACCACAGTCAGTTTGCACTGCTATAATCATAGCAGATACCACCACAGTCAGTATGCACTGCTATAATCATAGCAGGTATCACCACAGTCAGTATGCACTGCTATAATCATATCAGGTACCACTACAGTCAGTATGCACTGCTATAATCATAGCAGGTACCACCACAGTCAGTATGCACTGCTATAATCATAGCAGGTACCACCACAGTCAGTATGCGCTGCTATAATCATAGCAGGTATCACCACAGTCAGTTTGCACTGCTATAATCATAGCAGATACCACCACAGTCAGTATGCACTGCTATAATCATAGCAGGTATCACCACAGTCAGTTTGCACTGCTATAATCATAGCAGGTACCACCACAGTCAGTATGCACTGCTATAATCATAGCAGGTATCACCACAGTCAGTATGCACTGCTATAATCATAGCAGGTACCACCACAGTCAGTATGCACTGCTATAATCATAGCAGGTACCACCACAGTCAGTATGCGCTGCTATAATCATAGCAGGTACCACCACAGTCAGTATGCACTGTTGTAATCATAGCAGGTACCACCACAGTCAGTATGCGCTGCTATAATCATAGCAGATACCACAGTCAGTATGCACTGCTATAATCATAGCAGATACCACCACAGTCAGTATGCACTGCTATAATCATAGCAGGTACCACCACAGTCAGTATGCACTGCTGTTAGATTTTTCAGAGTAGGTTTGAAATACAAATTTGACCCGGGCAACACCGAGTACTTCCCGCTAGTTGTTTCAAATTTCGAGTTTTGATACGAGTGCCTTCTTAGAATCACCGGTTCTCTATGCACATACAATTGTGCGTGCAAATATGCACACTGAATTCAGTGCAATGTGAACACATCTCTCATGTCCTCGGCCCACAAAGTGCAGCGTGGACAATATTTGTCCGAAAATTGTTTCTTGCTTAAACGGCGTGCATAACGGCACACTGAGTGCCATGCGCACAGAACACGTGACAGTGCGTGACGGCACTGTCACATACTGCTGGCGTGTCAGCACAGGAGAACTTCTTTTATCCACTGCCGCATTACCCACAACCCTAATTATTTTTGTGGTATCTGTAGGGTCTGCGTAAACTCATATTATCCACGAGACTTTTTTTCTACATGGTGGATAACTGTAATATTGCAGATAATCCCACGGAAAATAGGAGCCACGATATTGATGATTTTGGCTAGCCATCGAACATAGATGGTTACTGCATCGCCTGCTTTTAAATGCGCTTCTGCGGCCGTCTGGAACGCTCTTTCTTCCAGGTGTTAGGAAGTCACTGAAGTTATGCACTTTTAAATCATCTAGATTGCAAACTAATTTCTTTAGAACTGCGTATTGTGTTTAGTTTGTTGTCCTTCCCCCGTACCTTCGATTAGCCTCGTCGGCTTCGTACGGTGTGAAAGATGTTCAACATATACATACATATCACTGTGGAGTTCACCTCTATACAGCAACTGGAGATGGCTTGTGTATTTACGTGATCTATACATCCAACTACACTATGTTGTATTAATACGAATACTGTGTGCAGGGGTGGTGCCATCCCATGAGGTGGATCCTAACTAGCCCACCCCCCCTCCATCCTTACCCCTTCAACCCCCCTGATGCATCAACCACCTCCTAAAATATATTTCCGTGACCCAAGAAAACGAATTAGTACAATACGAATAAACAGGAGAAGTTTTCCTGAGTTTTCATAACAATAATTTTGAAAGATCCCCATGATTTGCGGGGGCCATTGAGCTGATCTGATCGCTTCTGCGGCCATCTGGAATGCTCTCCCTTCCGATATTAGGAAGCCACTGGAGCCATGCACTTTTAAATCCTCTAGATTGAAAACGAATGTTTTTAGAACTGCTTTTTGTGTTTAGTTTGTCATCCTTCCCCGACGCGATGCATGGGACAATTAATGGGGTGTTTGCATTTTCCACACACGCACATACGGGGTCACAAGGCTTAGTCTAATTTCTGCTCTTATCCTGCAAATGTAATACTCGCAAAGTCTCTGCCAGTTTGTTCCTAATAAGTAAATACTATTGTCAAATGATCAATTCCCCTCGGGGCAATTGATTTCACAGGAATCACGGGGTTAATTTGTTCAGGCAAATGAAGGAAGGGGGCTGCTTGGCCCAGGGGCTTACTGTCGAAACACTGAGCCGGAGATTCTCCATTTGATTTCGCACGATTAGACTGGGTTCTTCTTCATCGTCGCAATTCCACGGTCTCACTACGTCCATCAGTGACAACTGCTCAATAATACGATCTTTAAAAATCGAGTAATTTTTTTACATATTTAAAACCCGTGAGGAATGAAATGGCTTTGGATTGATTGCCGTACAGCTGACTCTTGGATAGCAGGGCACAGGAGAAGGGGCAGCTTCCCTAGTGTGAATAATAATAATAACTAGAACAAGCTCTATGGCGCCTTAACACAGCAAGGCATTAACAAGGGCGCCGTTTGTACGCATCTTAAAACTTCTATCACACAGCATGTAGCCAACCGTGCTATAACAAGAGGCTATGTAAAGAATGCTTTGATTCCTATTGCTATTATTTTGGTACAACATCGCATATCCAACCATCACGTAGCCACCCAAATCCAATTAACTGCCCATACCGAGTGCGGTATTTGTTTTACGGTGTAACTCTCATTTTCAGTTGATGTTCACCAATCTGACACTTTCGCATGCAGACATTCTTAATATTGCATACATTCGCTTTCAAGCAGTTCATACTTTATGTTTGTCTTGTAACCTATTTGTGCTCAGTGTAACTGTCATCCTCAATGGATGTTCGCGATTCTGACTTTTAAACCTTTCCCCCTTGTGTTAGTTATACCTTCCCTCGCTGCTCACCTCCCTCTGTGTGCACCTTGGCCTACCACACTGGGCCCTCTGTCTCCTCCTCCTCCCTCCTCAGGTTTGCAGTCAAGGCCTTGGTGGAGAGGGGAGGCCTGGAGCCCGTGGGCGACTCCTCCGAGGAGTTTGTCAACTTCGCGGCCATCTTGGAGCAGGTGCTTAGCCACCGCCTCAAAGGTACCCACCAGGCACCCACCAAGCACCCCCTGTAGGGTTGCCACCTGTCCTGGTTTTCCCCAAGACAGTTATTTTTTTTTAGAGGTTGCTGTCCTGGGAAATATGTACGTCTTCCTGGGGATTCATCTTCTTGGTTCTTTCGGTAAAGTCAAGGGAAATAATAAAATAATTAAAATAAAACATAATAAAATAATTCTCACGACGTTTTGGCCACAGACCTGTTCTTCACCTGAGGACGGCTGCTTGCGTTGTGGCCGAAACGTCGTGAGAATTATTTTATTATGTTTTATTTTTTATTATTTTATTATCTCCCTTCTACGTGACTTTACCGAAAGAACCAAGAAGATAAATCCCTGCAGTCACGAAAGCTTTAAATCGAAACTTCCTGGGGATATTAACCCTTTCCCGTTCCGAGACGTCTGCAAGTTGCAGGGTTGGGTGTCCCCGTTCACCCCAGAATCTCGGAAGGCACAATCTGCTCAGCGTTCATTTTATTTAGAAAGGCGTAGCATCGTTGTTTGTAAAGACGTTGTACTCGCCGCAGAGAACTGTAGCGACACGACCGAACTCTATGATGGCTGGTGCCAAACTCTGCCACGCACCCTCTGGGAATGTAATACGAAGATAAACTGATCATGTACACGTACGCGTACTTTATCGGAATGGCAAAAAGTTAAAAATCTTAGTGTTTGTCAGATGTCCAATAATAGCGCACCACTCGGGTCAATGGATATATATATTTAGTTCTTCTCTCTTCTTGATTTCATGAGATATTCCTCTTCCCATGATATGTCCTGTATCTTAACTTCGGAGGTGGCAACCCTATTCCTCCAGGTGGCACGGTTGACCTTCCACTCTCCCAGTGCTGGTGGCGGGCAGTAGCCCGTCGCTATTGATTGTTTTCCTCTTTTTATTTTCGACAAGTGGTGATAACACCACAATTTTCACCCTGGGTGTGAAATTAAACTGCATCCGGTTGCGTTGCAAAGAAAATACTGTTGAGTAAAGGAAGGCGGGAAACCAACTCAACTGGCCTCCACTCGGGTATGGCTCAGGAACAAGAGTACGGGAAGGGTGGCACTGCTAGAGTCAAAAGAGATGGGCTCGATGAAGGTTTGACAACGCTGAGCATTGCTTGCATATCCCATAGGTTATATATCTCCCGGGGTACACTCTGTGCAGAGGCAAGAGGCAGCTGCACATTTGAATGTGATGCAGCTTCACTTTGCTGATCTGAATTAATCAAAGACGGCCGTGACTGTTGTAATCGAAAAACGTCGTGATCGACTGGTTTCTTTTATTTCAATCTCGTGAGAGCCCAAAGAGACAAAGCTTATCATTTGCGTAGGAGACCTGGGTAAATAACTGAATAACTATAATTTACAGCTCTGTGTTAATCCGTTAATAGATAAAATCCTCACCCATGCCGTTTTGGTCGTGGGGGTTGTTTGACCATATTTCACCATGTTGGTTATTGCACTTTAATAAAGGGGTTCCCAGGATCCATTTACCCGGCTAGTCAATGCAGATTGGCGAAAGGGTGGCCCAGGTTTGGATCCGATATCACTCGCCACTGACGTTATAGCCTTGGCCGGGAATTGAACTGAGGTCGCCGGATTCGTAATGCTTCGCGTTAACCACTGCGCAAACTATTTCACCCCCTGGATAAGGAGGAAAAGCAGCACTGTTGGGCGGCACGCAGAAAGTGTGCAGCGTTTAAAAGTTAAATGCAGGAAGAATGCAAATGCATATTAGGAAAAAATTAATACGTGATTAATATGCGAGAACATGAATTTCGTAATGAATAAATATACGTAATAAGATTGTTTTGCAAGAAAGACATGCAATTAGAGATAAAATCGCGTACTTAATTGCATATTACAAAAGTAATAAAACAATCAGAGCTGTCGTTATAATAAATAATAGTAATTAAGTATTTGGGGGGAGGGGGAGGAATCTGCTAAGGTTGACAGTAGATCAGCTTCTAATCTAATTACATTCGTGCTTATCAGTCAGTGATGTAGTCTGAGAGATTGGAATGTACTCATGATTGTAATTGTATTGAAATGCCAGGGGAATATCTTGTTTGCACATACGTACAGTTTTCTGTGCACGCGTATTAATTGCACATGCGAGTGGGATTGTGAGAATTCATTGATCGGGTCATGTTTTCTCCACCCCCTTGAAGCTTTAGAATTAAAAAAAGCCCTGATAATATACGATATACCAGACGAACCAGTGGGATCACAGACTCACATCTCGTTTGCAGGGAGCGTCCTGGCACGATGACGGCAATACATTAGTGTCACATAAAAAGGTACAAAATCAGCAAACTCATCACATTAATATTGCACACGGGAGTGGTCGGTTACTATGAACAAATCACCTGCAATGCACCCGATCTCAAATCATGGAAGATCAGCAGATTTGAGAGCCTGGATATTATCTTGGATGTATGCAGTAAGCATATAGAACTTATTTCGCACCATACTAATCAGAGGGTGGACCCCCAGCCCTGTCACAAACAAGTTGTGATAGGGCTGCAGCCTCACGTTTTGGCGCAGCATAGAGCAAGTGCAACAGAGCACGTTGTTGCACTCTAATTGAACGCTTCCACATCCACGCTCCCCAACTTCACCAACACACTGACCAGAGTGACGAAGCAAGCTCGAATGATCCCCATAGCCCGCGCGACTGTCGGGAGGCCCTCATCTGGCATTCAGCAGTGGGATTTGACAAAAAAATTGGCTCTATGAGATCTCTTTTACCAGTGGCAAAATATAGTAGTATGTTTTTACCCTTTTAACTACTTGTGTTGTGGTTATTGCAAACATGATGCCTTGAATGAAGGTGTCAGTTTTGTACCAGTTTAAAAGGGTAAAAACCTACTACTATATTTTGCCACTGGTAAAAGAGATCTCATAGAGTAAATGCTTTACCCCGAGCTCTCAATACTCTGATATGCACTGTGTTTGAGTTGTACGCCTTCTGGTGTCATCTGGTCCAACACCAATGGGGACTAGGCTCTAAAGAAAGCCGTCTCGGGTGTGGACCAATCAACTTCAAGGACAGTGCATATTATTATCATTATCAGAGTTGCTTCTTTTTGTTTGCTTTTTTGACTACTTGTGTTGTGGTTATTGCAAACATGATGCCTTGAATAAAGGTGTCAGTTTTGTACCAGTTTAAAAGGGTAAAAACCTACTACTCAAAAATTGGCGTACATGTACGCGCGTCCGACTTAAGGGTATTAAAAATACACGTTACATTGTAAAAAAAAAAAATGCTGTAAGTTGTGTGTTTAATTAGTTGGACGGAAGTAAAGTTAGGTGGCAAAATAGATACGTGTTGAATCTTGTTGCTACGTGGTTTTTAGATGGTCCTTAGTATACAAGCTGATTCAATCGGAGTGCTGTTGGGATCTAACACATTACAATAAGATGGGTATTCTCCTGTGTAGAACCACTTACCATCTCGTGCATGTATGGGCACATTGCACGTTTAGACAGTGGTGCTTTGAAAACATTGAAATGCTGAGTTTCTGAAGTGGCTTTTTTTCTCACCGCTCAAAAAGCCTGGGAATTTCATACCAAAATCCAGCCCTTGCTCTATTCTAACCAAGAGTTCATGGCTATTGTTGGAGGGTTTATTGTTATTGTGGGTCAGACACACTCATTTCATGACAACGGTACCTTGACGAGGAAGGGTTTTTCAAAGCACGGTCCCCCAAGAAGGCAGCATTTGTTGATCTTCTCGTTCGACCCGTCAGTCTCCTAGTGATTTTACTTTGCTCGTGCATATGACTCGAATAGCAAGTGGAGCCCTCTGGAAACGTGCATGTGTGACGAAGACCCCCCCCCCCCCCATGCACGGTACCGCAGGGTGCCTCTGACTCAAGGTACATTGATAATGACAGCAATTGCATGGTTGAGTAGCTTGCCTCTCAAATAACTTGCCAATCAGCCAATGCATACCTGTCAAACCCTTATCAGTGACTATCTTATTACAGACCAATTCAGACCTTACTATTCACCCCGTGCCCTTATAAATCTCAACGTTCATCCTACAAAGTCCCATCACAAGGGAGAAACACAAACAAATAGACCAAAAAAATGTGCCCGTATTCAAATGGCTGTACGCCATATAGACCTGAAAACTCAACTTCCCTGTGCAAGTATAGGGGTAAATCGTATGGGTTGACAGGTATGCCAATGGCTCAACGATTGTATTAATTTCGTCCAGAGATCACGCACGAAGGGAATTGTCACAGCGTGTCATCTGTGGACACTTAAGTATCCCATGACAATTTTCTGTCCACCTTCCCCAGAAACCTTTGACACGGGTGTGTGCGCTTTCCCATAATAAAAACATAATTGAAAAAAAATAATTCCGTGACATTGAGGGGGCTGGGTCACTCACGGGCCAGAGCAATGACCCAGCATCTTTGAGATCGAGGTTTTTTGCCACATGCGACTAAACTGGGTTCTCAAGCTTAGCGAGTTGATGGTTTCAGCCTGGTCTTCGATGACTGAGAAATAACACGTAACATTGCGTTTGGTTTTGCACTGAATATGACTAATTTCCAGCTTCGAGAAATTAAAATATCAGTTTGACTACCACTGAATTAACATTTCACTGCAGCAGGGTGTACTGTAAATTGTCATCCTGGATTAATAAAAGCTCACTTTAAGGGAATTCAAAGAGAGCTGTGTGACATTGCATTCCACAGATCCTTCTATTACATGAGCTTTTTAATGCCGCGTAAAAGGGTTCAGAACAAGGCATTATTTTTTTCCATGACATATGGCGAAATTAGATGAAAATATTATGCTATTTCCAAGTGTTATTAAGGTTTGATATATCACAGAAAGTGCATTTGTTATGGTGACATCTGTGAGTGGAATTTTCAACCATTAGTGTGTGGTTGTATGAATATGAATTCTAGATTTGAAGCTTTCGTGACTGCAAGGATTCATACTTAGTTTTTTCGGTAAAGTCAC